ATAATATACTCTACAAAAGCAATATAAATAAAATTATAATTTTTTATAGCTTTTTTTTTTTCCAAAACGATAGATTCATTAAATAAAACACATAATTACAACCGATCACACCGGAATGGGAGGACTACCCAAGGTAGCCTATAAACCACAACACACACTACAACACAAAAAGGAAAATAAAAGCTCCTCAAAGGAGAATACACAAACTCCCCACATGAGAATACACAAACTTCCCATAGGAGAATAACACAGTCCTCCAAAGAAGAAAAAACAAAACACAACCCACAAAACAAAACAACACACCACAAACAACACACACCAACAAAAACAAAACAAACAACAACAAAATAACATAAAAACTATAAGCCTTCCACAACCGCAGTTAGGCAACCAAACCACGTGCACGAACGGACCCCAATAGAAGAAAAGAGACCCGACTCAATCTAGATCTAGAACCTGCGATCTGCAAACGAGGCCTAACTAAACCCGAGCAAGACAGGCCTCCTCCTACCGGAAGCCCGCAGACCTCACCACGAATTTTGGCCGGAGAGACCCCCCCACACCAAACCGGCCGGAGCAGTCAGAAGCCTCCCACCGGCATCCCAACGCCCCCACCGTCGGCCACCCGCCCCAGCACCAGGAGACGGGATGGTCCAAGGGATACACACCTCCGCGAAATTCAGTCGCTGTCCGCCCAAGGACAACGAAACGACGACGGCGACCACTAGCCACCCATCCACGTCGGGACACCGCTGAAGAAACGTCGAGGCCACCAGGACTGGAGGAAACGTCTCGCCGATTGCAGGGTCGTCGGGGAAGAAGACTCGCCGGTCCCCCAGTGTAGTCATCGCTGCGGCAGGCCGGCGCCTGCGGAGGGGAGGCGGCGGCTAATTTGACGGAGGAGCTTTAGAGGTAGCAACAAGGGGATTTTTAGAGAGAGAAATTTTAGAGACTAGAGAGATCTTACTCACTCGTTATAAAAAAACAAAACGACCTGTCCAATGATTAGATCGTCTCATACAATAATTTATGAAGATATAAAATATTCGGCCATCAATTTCAGTTTTATATTAATCGTTAAATTTTAGTAAATAATAATATATAAGCAATAATTAGTTCATATTACCAAATAAAGGCACAAATTAACCCTAATTGATGATAAGACAATACACGGGTAGCCGCACTCGCAATTCTGAAAATATAAGCCCAGTAAAAGTGGACCGCACGATCCAGATCTACCAGCCATCATCCCCCCAAGCTCTACACTATAAATTCATTCATTATATCACAACAATGTTCAACTACTAGGGTTTTATCTGCAAATCACAAGCTTTTTCTAATTTGTGTTACGATTTGTGTGACATTATAATTACGCGACTTGAAAGTGGGGCGAGCTTCAGACAGTGTTCGTATAACCCATTTGGAAATGCTCCGTCGTCGCTACATAAAGCTTCCCTTCGTAATTTGTTGAGATCTCAATTTATGTTGAGATTTCCGAATAAGCTTTGGGGGCAATTTCATATCCTATCGCCTTGTGTAGCAAAATTTTTTGCTATTATCTCTTGGGATTGGCCATGAGAATTACATTATTATAATTACATTATTTTTTTCTCTATATTGTTTTTATGTTGAATGTTTGGATTCACAATGACAAATTTAACAAAATTTTTCTTTTGGACAAACAAATGTGTTGGATAAGTTTGGGTGATTAGAATCGTGAAGTTGTTCTGGTTTTTAGTGAATCTCAAATTTTGTTTATATAACAACTTTACAAATTAGAGTCTGAAATTATTTTATATTCAAATTTAAAAAAAAAAAATAACTATAACAACTTATTATAGAGTGATAATTCGTATACAATCAAAATATTTGAATACAGAATTGTTCAATAAGTCATAAATCATATTTTTCTTATTTTAATTTAGAAATTATTTTAGAAAGACTGTTTGAATTTATTACTAAACTTTTAATTGAATGTTGATAAATTAAAGTACTTGTATAACTTTTCAATAAAATATTTACAGACTTTTTTACTATTAAATTTATCATTTGATATGAATAATATATATGTAATTTCTATAATATTTTTTATGGATAAAAAGTTAAATTTATTGCAATTTTAAACCTAGGAGAAAGAATCCAAAAATACAATTTTAAATATATGCAATTTTGGGTTTCGAGATTCGAGTGAAGATGGTCTAATAGCAATGGTTAAATGGTAATAAAGTTTGAGTGACATTTTTCTTTTCAAGTTTTTGCAAACACAACTTGACCCAACGATTTGAGCAATTTGAGCCGAGTTTGTTCATGAAGACTTTTTTTCTAAGGTTATTGATAATGTTTTATATATCAAATATACATAAAACATAAAGCAAATATGAAAAATAAAATAAACAAATATCCATTTTCATTGAAGTTCAACTTTTTGATGAGATAAAAATCAATGTTTGGGTGAATGAGATGGTGGATTTTGGCCCCTTGGTGTTGTTCGTAATGTTCTGTCTTTGAAGGATATATTTCATGCGTTGGCTTTGAATTTGGTTAGCAGTCGTTTCAGAGTTATGGAGTAGTTGGATTTGCAATTAAGTGTCAAGGTTGCCATGGCTTTGGTTGCTCATGTAGTGGGCGCGACGGTGTAACTTATCGGAAGTTGGGAGACCTTTATTTGTGTTGTTGTGTTGTGTTGTACTGTGTTTAGGGTTTGTTAGGACCAATCTTATGGTTTGTTTGGGTGTGGATAATAGAAGATTGGGCTAATTTCATGCAGATAACAGAAGAGTGGTTAGATCGGTCTAGTTCCATGCGGATAATAGAAGATATTAGTCTGATTCTGTTTTGTGTGGATTTGTTTTGTTTAGGTGCAGTTTTTGTGTTTTTATTTTGTAGGAATTGCCTTATTATTTTGGCAGTTCCTTGTTTAGTTTAGGCGTTGCCTTGTTGCCTAAATTGTGTTGATATCAGTTAACATCAAATTTGGTATCTTGCAATTAATCTCGTTCTCGAGTTTAGTAGACTTGTTGCCTAAGTTATGTTGATGTCAGTAGACATCATGATTTGATTTTTTTAATTAGTCTTGTTCTCGAGTTTAATAATATGTTGTTTAATAAAAAAATGAGATAGAAATCAAATATTTATAGTATGATGTTGGTGCAATGTAGTATTGCCGTAAATTTATTATTTTATGTGTAATTGTACCGGATCAATGTTACCGTAAATTTATTATTTTATGTGTAATTGTACCAAATCAATTATCGGTATTCGATATTATCAGTATTAAAAATCAAGTATTTTATGTATAATTGTACCAAATCATTATCGGTATTCGATATTATCAGTATTAAAAATCAAATATTTTATGTGTAATTGTATTGGTCATTATCGGTATTTTAGGGGTAATTGTATCAAATAAAAATGCATGTGAAATATTAGTGTGTTTTTATTTCAACTAATATGCGATCCTGTGTACATGCACACAGATGCAAATAAATTTTTATGTGATATATTTGTGCATGCAATATTTAAAATTATGATTTAGATGATGAGCATATCACAATTTATAGTTTATTAGTATTAAAAATGAACTATATAAATATAAACTATTTAACTCTTTGAGCATATCACTAATTCATTGATTTTGTACTTTGTATGTGATAAAATATTATTGTATAATTTTTTTAAGCATTTTCATAACATAAAAGAAAATTCTGAAAGTAAACAAAAAATATATATATATATATATATATATATATATTTAAATTTGTCCAATTAAATTTGCTAATGTACGATTTCAAACTAAGAATTAAAAATAAGATAAAATATATTTAAGTGTGTGAAAAACGCAAATAACCAAAATTATGTAGAATATTAGAAATTACATTACATATAAAACTTGAATAATATTGATTATAACATTTAGATAAAAGTGGAATAAAGTGAAGGAAAACACAATATTAATAATAGATTTTGTAACGTCTTTTAGAGAGAAAACAAAAGAAGTTTTATTAATTGTTTTGCTAGAAATTATATATATATAGATAGACATTACGGGTCGATGGTCCTTCTGACTGGTTAACAACCAACCAACTTTATCCGATTGATTTGGACATTGATCCGACCTTTTTTTCTGTTTTTTTTTTTTTAATATTCTTTATTTTAAAATAAAATTACATGTACATATTTAAGTGATAAATATTATGACCAAGTATAAAATTTATGTATAGGTTACAGTGTTTTGTGACCCGGACCGTCCCGGCGGGTCGACCCGGAACCGGAACCGGTCTGGGTGGGATATTTAGACCGGGCAACAAAGGATCCGGTCAAACCCGGTCAAAACTCAGCCGACCCGACCTTGACCCGGTCAACCCGGGAAATTGACCCGGCTGGGTTAACCCGGTTGATCCGGTCCACATATATATTTTTTTTTTAAATAAAACTATGTATATATGTTTATATGGTAAATATTTATTATGAGATACATATTATTAACACTTTAATGTACAAATTTTATACACAAAATATTTAATTTTGTTACTTTTATGTATATTTATATGACAAAAATACTCTATATATAATTTCAAAATTAATTATCCGATTCAGCAATTGACCCGATGACTCGACGGTTGAACCGGTGACCCGAGGACCTGCCCGGGTCGATTATCGGGCCGGGTTTAAAAACTATGATCGGTTAATTACTTTTGCTATTTTTATGTATATTAATAAGATACAAATAGTATATATTATATATATATATATTTATATATAAAATATTTTAAATTTTTTTTTTCACGTAAATTATTTAGTTCATCACCCAATGACCCGAACCGAACACTGACAACAAAGTAATGTATATCAGAGATCTCTCATGCACAATAAGACAGCACAACTTTTTACTCCTTTCATTAACGAGGCTTTATTCCAAGTTTCAACATTCCCATTACAATCACGATCAGTCAGTCTAAACAAACTGGGATTACACAAGTATCCTACGCAACACAATATCATCAAACATCCTACATTCATAGAAGCAAACAGTAGAATCGAATCACTTCATGAATAATGCATGCAATTTCAACCCATTAATTCCAGTTTCATACAAAAGTACATAATAACATCATTACACAGAGTACGAAAAATCAACAAGTACAGCACCAAAATATCCTAAAACGACCAACAATCCTAATCTGGTGTACCTATCGATAAACAATAAGTTCGGGTCAAACAGACACACCCATGAGCCTAAAAACTTCTACACCACCAAAAAAAAAATAAAAAAAGATAGAAAAACGTACGGGTAAAAACTAAAAAACAAACACAACAATTAAGCTAATCAACACGTTATTTCATGGCTCGGCTCCCTATCTGTGCTTTTGGGGCTGTGAGAAGAGTTTATATTAACCAAGTTGAAAGAAGCTGATTTTGTCAAATTTGGATTTGGCCCGTTATATGATGGTGCTTCATATCTATGTTCGAAAATAGGATTATTAGCATCAACGGGAGTGAATGATATCGTTTGCTCGTAATTTGGTTTTCTAGGCCTTTGCTGCTCTTGTTGCTGTTGTCCGGGAAGAGGAAAACTTCCAATAACAATCTGTAGAACTCGAAAAATTTCAAAAAGTTTATATTGAAAATATTATAATTGTACCTTGAGGTAAAATGCATACGCAAAACTAGGGTGCAACGAACCGAGCGCTCGAGTCAAATCTCGGCTCAAGCTCGAGTTTGACCGAACTCGAGCATGTTATCAAGTTGATCTCAATTCTCAAGCAAGGGAGCGGCTCGAGATATGTAGTGAATTACTAAAATACCCCTTATATATAATATTACAAAATTTTATATGTACTTAATGGGAGCTGTAAATGAACCGAAAGTTCGCAAACAAAAGCTCGTTCACGCTCGTTCGTGTTCGACAAAAGCTCGTTCGTTTGTTAATCGAGCCGAGTTCGAACAGAAAATTAGGCTCGTTTAATAATTGAACGAACACGAGCTCGTTCGCGAATGTTCAATAATGTTCGCGAACATTAATTTTATCATTTTATTTTTTTTATATATTTACATAATATTTTTAATAAAAAAAATCTAAAATATAAAAATATTTTTATTTTATTTTTTTATTTTAAAGTTCGAACGAGTTCGAATGAACAGTTAATCAAACATATTTAAAAAAGTTCATGTATTAAATTAGTCGAAAACAATTAAACGAACGAACTCGAACACGATTTTTTGCTCAAACGAACGATTGTTCGAACGAACGGACACGAACATTATTCGAACGTAAACGAACACGAGCTCGAACAGCCTAAGCTCGGCTCAGTTCGGTTCGTTTCGTTTACAGCATTATTAATAGGTAATATTACTTTGAGATTTGATTCAAACTCGAGTCAAGCTAGAGCAATCTTTCGAGCATTTTGATTTCAATCGGTCTGGAGTGATTGTCTTCTTTTGTCGAGTCGATCTCGAGCGTCATAAAGGTAAAAAAAATTAATCTTGCTCGACAAGACCAATGCTCGACTCGGCTCTTTTGCAGCCCTAGGCGAAACTTATCAAAACTAACTAGTATCTTATCATTTGGTGAACCAGAAATAAGTCTAAGTGCCTCTGGATTTAAATAGCAAATCACTTATTAAATTTTTTTTCCATTTTTTTTTCTTTTTTTCCGTAGACGAACAACAAATTACTGACCTGAACAGGACCTGCTGCGACTAGCATGCCAGCTAATCCTCCACCTAATACACGGCCATCGGGGCCCGCAAGACAGACACTAATCCCGCCAGATCTGCTTTTTGTCAGCCCATTATCACTCGGCATAAATGATCCTGTTAGAGAAAGGATTTCGAAACGACCCTGTACAAAAATGCATCAGTTAATAATTTTTTTTCCGGAGAAATGTGATGGATTGCGAAAGCACTCGACAAAACCATTTTCGAAATAGACAATAAATAATAATAATAAAAAAAAAACCGCCATAGGGAAGCAAGTATTTTTACGGTTTGACCTCGTAGGTTAAAGTTCCACCAGAAGAAAAGGAAATCTAGACAATCTTAATAAGCTAACCAGAAAGGCTGTTCAAAAAGTACAGACCTATATTCGGTCATATTTTGATTACACAATTATACTCCTTCTAGTTGCCAAAATAATATCAGCATAATAAAAATAAATGACCATAGCTAAGCTACAAAAACAGATAACGGTAAGAAGATATATGCCTTCGAGATACAAGAAATATTTGTGGCATACAGATAAATCAGATTAAGGGGAGTTCATAAGTTCATGTGCACACATATTATAAGGAGAAGAATATGAAATAGAAGAGATAATTGGTCTTAGTCTGAACTCCAAAGTACCTCGCCAGTGTTAACCGTTAGCATATGAGGTATAAAACTTCCAGTAAAAGGGTTTGCCACTGGTTGCCCTGCAAAACGTGAAAAAAATTATGAAGGTGCTCGGGTATAATATATAGTTAATAAATATCACTACATATGACATTTAAAATAGGAAAGTGATGCATATACTTGAAAAGATGACATTTTGAAGGATATTCTAGATAACTCCTTGAAAAACCTCTATTTATATAAAGTCAAACGTTAAATATATGTTCAATCAGCACAATTAGCAACTGGAATTTGTAATTACATGCATATGCTTTAAGAAAATATCTCTCGTGTTAAACAGAGTTGATTTATTAAGTTAACTATACCACAGCACATGCAATTATCTTTGTTACCTAAACACTGAGAGACCAAGAAGATAAAAAAATCCCTTAATCATCAATGATAAATGGAAGACCCAAACAACCTCTCCCTTGACTTTTGAATCAGACCTTTTCAGGTGAGCTAGTAATTTATTCATATAGATTCAAGATGTGTGCAACAAAATCAATCTGGGAGATAAACACAGTACAGATATATAAATAAACAAGCATAATAATATCCTTAAGCTGCAGGGAAGAATGAAGATGCCACACCATTTTCGAGTTTTTTCAGCTTGCTGAACAATTTTAATCTCTTCTACGACAGCACTTAATCCACCCCTTTCCGCTAAGTTCCTCAAAGATGTGTGTCTGTGTGTGTGTGCGTGTGTGTGTGCATTGTGGTATTTTGGTGCCTGGGCCAAATAGAATGTTTGAAAATATGTTAAATGATCTTGCTTTGTTTGTTTATTAGTGGTGCGTCTCTTTTGGTGATGTGACCAGACACAAGATCTTGTCCTTTACTCAATAATTGCTTGGTCTGAGTAAATGGGAAAGAAATAGTAAAGAAGCATAATAATGAATTATGGTGAGAAGATGAGCCTAAAATAACTTACTTACAGTTGCCCCACAAACATAAAGCAAGCACAGAACAACAGAAAAAAGCATATTAGCAGATCTATATTTTTCCTGAATAAAACACCTGCAACAAATTCCAGACAAAACAACACTTTCTTGTCCGAATAATAACAAAAACAAAAAGAACTCCCAAGTAAAAATACCTGGATTTTCAAATTCCAACTTGTGCTTTTTCTTGAAAGTGTCGACCGGCCGGCTTGCACTGTTCTTCCAAGCCGAGGAGTAATCGCTGGTGAAGGGTATCGAAGCAGATATCGGCATGGGTGATAGTGCCGCAGCAGAACCATCTCCTGAATGCTTTCTTGGCCTCCCCCTTTTCTTCTTCAACTCCGTCGACGGAGCCCGCGCCGGAACCACCGCGTTTGGAGATGGCACCACCGGAGGCGGCGGCGCAGTCGACCCGCCAAACTGGACGCCGGGATTTTCAACCCTCTGCTCGACTCTGTAGCTCTGAGGGGCTTCATCGCCTTTTACCCTGAACCCAGAACCGTTCAACCCGTCTTTTTCCTCCATTCATACACTAACCAAAAAACCCTTAAACCCTTCACAAAGATTACTAATGCTTGAACCCCAACTGCTCAGTGAGTAGCTCGTCTTTTTTTTTTTCCCCCTTTTTCCTTCTTATTCTTATNGCTCCGTCCACTAATGTAGTGGATATGAGCTATGAGTACGGGAAACCGGTCTAGGAGACTCGGGCAGAAAACCCGAAGGTTACACCTAGATAATAATGTCCAATAGGTTTTCGCAAAAAAAAAAAAGAAAAAAAAAAAGAAAAAGTAGAGCAATGAAATAAAGTTGGAGAGAAATTAAAGAAATAAATATGATATAATAATAATTGAAAATTAATTCGGTGGGTAAATCAATATTTAAATTGCAAAATTCAAAGTATTAATTACGGTTGAGAAAATGGTTTGGGGTCCGCTTGGAAATTTAATAAATGAAGTTAAAAAAATAGCAAAGTGATGTGAATTGGAATATAAAATAAAGGGAAATTCCATTTTTTCAAAATAATAAATGGCAATTTAATTATTTTAACGCTGTAAAGTTAACGTTGGAGGCATTCCCAATTTTTTCAACTTCTGTGACCTGTTATCTGTCATTTTTAGGCAAAATAAAAGTAGACCATTTATTTGGAAAAAGATACCCTTCAATTTATGTACAAATTAGTAAATTACTGTTACTCTGTCTTTTAAACTATGTTTGGTAAAATTATCTGATAAGTTAACTTATAACTTATCAGTAATTTTTGAACTTATAGCTTATAGTTTATGATTTATTACTAAAAGTTAGTTTATGTGATAAAAGTGCTTGGTAAAATTAATTAATAAGATAACTGAAATAAAAATTTCAACGAACTCATTTGAGGAGCTAACCAAAGAAGCTTATAAGATAATCTCAAACTTATTAAAATACTCGTCCTACTAAACCCAACTTATAAATATAGAAAACTTATAAGCTAACCAAACAAATTATAAATAACTTTTTTTTAAACAAACATAGTCAGTCTTTACTATGCAAAATTACATAGGAAAAAATGGTAAAAATGATGGTGCTTGCATTATGTTTCCTTGCATTAGTACAAAATTATTTCCTCGAAGCCCAAAAAATTAGGATAACAATTTTATCAGTATAATTAGTACTGGATCAACTCATCAAACTTATTTAACACAAATAAATATTTATGTTATAAAATTATCGTATTTTATTTATATTATATTTTTTAAAAATATAACATATATATCGAAAGAGTATAATCATTCTTAGTATAAAAGAAGCAAGGAGAAAACATTATAAGGTCTAATTAGTAGTCGATCAACTCATCAAACTTATTTTATAAAAATAAAGTTACACATTTTATTTATAGATCAACTTATCAAACTTATTTCATAAATATAAATATAAATTGCCATATTCTATTTATATCTATTAAAAAAAATATAACATATATGTTAAAAGAGTAGCTGGGTCTGCCTAATATGATTCTTACTATAAAAATAAGCATGAAGATTTAAGGTAGATGAGGAAAACATTCTCAGGACTACAATCTTACACTAAATTCTCCCTTTTAATTTATTAAATTGAATTTTTTGAACTCAATCACTCAAGTAAGTCAAGTATAATCGCAATCCACCCTTGTCAATTATACAAGGATAACTAGGAAAAATCCTTGTACATTGAATCAAATAGTCAACTCAGAAAAGGTAGAATCTTTTCAGCATTGTAACCAAGACCAAAANCATTATGAAAATTCGTGGAGTATAATATGTACACAAGATGAAAGCAACATAATTGACTATCATTTTTGCATCATCCACAAAAAAGAATATAATTAAGATCAAAACAGAAATTTTTACTGCATTTGAGAATGGCCCGTTAAGCGCATGGTCTGGTCGAACAAAACCCGGCCCGCTTCTCTTCGAACGAGTACTCAATCGCCACCTGTCTTGGGACAGCTGTCGGCATTTGAGTGGGTGTTGTTATGGCCACCTGCATTGGAATAATAGAAACCGTTGATGGTGTTGAGAGCTCGGGAACTATGGCCATTTCTTGAGGCGTACGGTTGTCTATTTCGTTGATTGTGAGTGTCTTTTGAAGCATCTCGTTGTGTTTTTTGTTCGGGTCTTCCATAATAATAATGTTGTTCGCGTTTTATTTTTTGCACCTAGAGAGAGCCTTTTATTGTTTGCACTAACTCCATTATTACATGTCGACAATCGAGGCCCTTTCTTGGCACTTTGGTTCTTCATAGGGCTCGGTTTTGATCCATAAAGAACTTCTTGCTCGGTCAGTAACACTCCTTGGAGTTTCTTCTGGTCCTGATAAAATAAATAAAGGGGAAGGTCCACTTTTGGTCCTCCATGTTTAGGGGGTATCCAGACTGAGTCCCTATTATGTTTTGGTGCCCAATTTTAGTCCTTAAAACAAAAAAATGTAGTCCCTATAATTGGGAAAAATCCACTTTTAGTCCTCCATGTTTAGGGGTATCCAGACTTAATCCCTATTATGTTTTGGTGCCCAATTTTAGTCCTTAAAACAAAAAAATGTAGTCCCTTTACCTCAATTTATGTGAATTAACGGTCCATTTTTGCTCGACCGTTATGTTCTTTATTTTTTTAAAATTTGTTGACTAATGTCAACTTTGACCAAAGAAAAATAAAAGAAAATTTAAATGCTGAAAAAGTAAAATAAAAGACAGAAATAGTGAACTGCAGTGAAACGTAAAAAAAAAACCCTAACCGCCTAGGGACTAAATCCGATCAAATGGATGGAAATGGTGTGGTATTTTGTAGATGTGAGCTGGTTGCAAAGTTGACTACATGTTGGAAGGATGATAATCTCGGAAGAAGATTCTTGAGTTGCCCTCTATATCCTGTAAGTACTTTCCGTGAACTTCAATTGGAATATGATAAGAAATGGTTAATAGAGGGTTGATAGGTGCAATTTTTTTCGATGGCATGACCCGAAAATGGGTGCAAGAGCATTAGCTGTGATTCCAGGCTTGCTCCGCAGCGCGAATGCTAGGGAAATAGAAATCAGACGAGCAAAAATTTTAATTTAATTTAGTGCAATTTCTTGTTTTAGTTTAATTTTTTATTAATAAATATTCAGCATTTAAATTTTCTTTTATTTTTCTTTGGTCAAAGTTGACATTAATCAACAAATTTTAACAAAAATAAAGAACATCACAGTCGAGCAAAAATGAACCGTTAATTCACAGAAATTGAGGTAAAGGGACTACATTTTTTTGTTTTATGGACTAAAATTGGGCACCAAAACATAATAGGGACTCATTTTTTGTTTTAAGGACTAAAATTGGGCACCAAAACATAATAGGGACTCATTTTTTTTGTTTTAAGGACTAAAATTGGGCACCAAAACATAATAGGGACTCATTTTTTTGTTTTAAGGACTAAAATTGGACACCAAAACATAATAGGGACTCAGTCTGGATACCCCCTAAACATGGAGGACCAAAAGTGGACTTTACCCATATAAATCAACAAATATCATAAAATCTTCCGAATGATGTGTTAGAAGCAAGCAAGTCGAGACAAAAAAGGTACTTACCCTCTGCCTTTTGCGCTCTAGTTCATTTTCTTGTCGTAAAACCGTGTAGTCTTCAAGCATTGAAAGTAAACGAATCTAGAAATTCAAGATTGTAAGCAATGGTGAATTATGGTACACTACAATGTGTGTGTGTGAGATAGTGAGAGAAAAGCACTCACCCCATCATAAGTAAAATGAACTCCCCTCGCCTTTTCCCACATCGTGATCTTTGAAGTCAATGCATCCGCCATTGCTATTTGACAAAAACAAGGTCAATTACTTTGAGTCACATTTTTAATAATTAAGGTTGCAGAAAAAAATAAAAAAACCATGCCAGGAAGTTTGTTGACTGGTGCCCGGGCTTTTTCAGCACGCTTAAGAGTAAGACGAGCACCTCTCCCAGCATTATAGCGATTTTCATCCTAAAAAGGAAAAAGAAATAAATAACTCTGATTAATTGTGCAATTGCAACTAAGGATGTAAGAATTAGTAACTCCAAATAGTAACTTCAAATACAAGGCGAAATAAATAACTCTGATTAATTGTTCCTCGTCACAATTAAAACCGAGCACTGAGCAACATGAGTATAAGTAACTTAGTTGCTCCATAACCTGTTTCAAACGTTCACACTGCAAGAAAAGAACATCCAGGTAATTAAACACATCGAAGAACAGTCATTTAAAAATAAAAATAAAAAATAAAAAATTGACATGATTTAGTTTCACAAGATAAGATAACCTTTTTCTTTCTGAAGTGCTTGAAGTTCTCTCTGCAATTCTTCGAGATATCTCAAGGACAAATCATTCACTACCAAATCATTTGATGAATATCCTCCAGCTGGGTTATTATAGATTTCATTCTTAATACTCTGAATCTCTTTATTCGCAGCTATGAACTGATTTTTCCTCTCAGCTTTCCACTTCCGCATCTCCTCTATCTGGGGAAGGATGGCTCCAAGCTCAGCCTTCAAGCTTCCAGTGCTTTGATCCAGCCACACAACAAAAAAGCCATCATTGACTTAAAAAAAAATAAAAAAAAAATAAAAAATAAAAAATTATGATATAAGATAAATTATTTGTGATATAAGATATTATACCGGACATAAGTGGTATCGTAAAATGTAAATAAATTATTTGTGATATAAGATATTATACCGGACCGGCTTTAATGGATAAGAAAGAATATATTGATGAATAAGCACATTATCTTATTGGCTAAACCCAACTTGGGTCCTAAGGTACACTTCCCTATAAGAGGGGGCTAAGATATCCTAAAACCTCATTCTCTCTACATTGATTACTATTCTGTTGAGATTAAGAGTTTTGAAGTGATATTGATTTAGGCATCGGACGCCCGATGCTGAGACCCCTCCCGACGTTGGGTTTTTGCAAGTACTTAATCGTTCGAGTTGAAAGAGCCGGGTGAAGTCCATTTCACCAACAATTTGCATGTATCATCATGCATAAATCACAATATATATTATATAACTAATACATATATATTACTAATTAATCGGTTAAGTATAAGGACTTTTTAAAATATAATTTGCTATAACATAGTCTTATAAAAGCATAAGGAAATACTTTTTTTATTATTATAATGATTATTGAAATATTATTCAAATTGTTCAACTATAATAATTATAACAATTTGATTTATGTTACATATATATAAAGAAAATATAATTTATTTTTAAAGCACTTTATTTGTTATAATACCATCCGTTTATGATATGTAATAACTTATGAATAACATACTACAAAAACATTAATATGCAAAATATCTCTACGATATAGTAACTTATGCTGGTATCACGTCATCTTGTCAATTGTATAACCAATCAATTAATTTTAAACTTTTAAAAATTAGTATGTTTATTTTTTTATATATATGCATAAAGTAAGAAATAATTAATATATCGTTAGATATATAATATATTGTCATTGATTATAAACATTTACTACATTAATCAAAAATATTTTTATGTATGCAATTAATTATATTTAAGAAAAATAAGAAAATTTATTTAGACTAATCGGGTGATTGAATTGGGTTACAACTCAGGTTGATTGAATTAGTTTTAGGTGATATTTAAATAGTACAAAAAATGACACAACTGGAGTTGATCCCGAGTGACCAACTTATGGATCAGTTTGGCTAGTCCAAATCAATTATTGAAACTAAATATAAATTTGAATATTAAAAGTACTTTAGATATATTGTAAACCCAAAATAACCATATTAATGTTGTTTTATGACAACATATTCAACAATTTATGTTTATTTATTTTATTTTAATAATAATTTATATGAATAAAATGATATATTATTATAACTTTTATCAATGAATAGTAAATCAAAAGTTCTCATAATCGGACCATCATAGAACTGTTGGTTGAATCGGAATTTAACTTATCCATATCGTAATATATATACAGCATCTTTTGTAATAAATGCATATAAAATTATTAATTACATATTTAGTTATCTATTTTATTTAAATATGTACTTTTATTTATAGTAAAAATAGTTTTAAATGTAATAAAATTTATTTAAAAAATAATATTAATACTACCAGTATGATCGGCTGATGTTGACTGATTCGCCAACAAACATTTTATTAAAACGAACCGAACCAGTGATTAAACCGATTTCCTCGTATTTTTTGATCTAGTCCGATTTTAGAAATAAATCAATAATAGTTAAATAATAATTAATATTATTTATATATTTATAATACATTTTATTCGTGGATCATTATCTAATATATATATTGCAGGTTTGCTTCCTAATCGCTTTTGTAAGCAGCGTTTTCCAGGCAAGTTGTCAATCGTCCTCGATACAAAAGATTGGCTTTTGCGTTCTCACCACCAGTCACCAGAGCCCAAGCCTCAGCTCATCCGCTTCACAAGGTAGACTGCAAATTTGACTGTAGATTTCAATCCACAGTCACATTCTACAAATAGCTTAAGGCGGAGTAAAATGCGGAGAACCCTAAATCCCTTTGCACACTCCCGCTTATAGTTATCCAAGTGAAGCCTTTTTACACTCCCATTTCTCAAGAAAGCTCCCTCTTCAATGGCTGCTCAAGGGTTGTCTGTGCTCTCAGTTACACCCTCCTCGTCAGCCACAAATCGACCCTGCGTGAAACCCTCCGAGCAAATTACGGGTTTTAGTTTATCGAATTCTTTCGTGGGCACAAAGCTGCGGGCTCAGCCGTCAAGCTTCGGTCTGATTACTTCTAAACGACGTCGTTCGGCGGTCGCCACCATCTCCTTCAGTCTGCCCATCACGTAATTTTTATTTTTTTATTTTATTTTATTTTTTTGTTTTAATTCAATGTGGAATTTTCAATCGTTCGTATGCAGATTTAACTTATTATTTTTCGGCATGTTATTTGAGGCCGGCCCAGCAGAAAGACTGACGTTGCTTCGGACAATGTGCCTAAGTAAGATATTTGGGGATTTTTTCTTTTTGGGTTTCTTTTTGTCTTTGATTTTCTTTGATTGGCAATGGGTGTGTAAGTTAATGGAATTCTGTTGAGTATAGATGGTCTGCAAGATCAATTAAGGCATTTGCCTTGGCTGAGTTGCAAGCACATAAGCTCAATTATCCGAAAACTGGGACTGAGGCTCTCCTCATGGGTATTTTGCTCGAAGGTATGCAATTGAATTAGATAAAATGCTTATTATATTGTTATATTCACTTTTTTCAAGTTTGTATTATACATCTTAGTTTTGTTGGTCGGCTATATTTAGCTGATAGCTGGTTTGATTTCCAAATAGAACAGTTCCCCTCAATATATCTCTAAACTTATGAAGATTTATGGTAGAATAATATTTCATTAGGAAGGAGAATTGTTTGAGTTCCTCCTGAATAAATATAAATAGATTTCGAGGATATATTTTTCAGTTTGAATGAAACAGGACCACTTGGTCAGCTATGTGTTATTAACTAAACTGTTAATCATGCAGGAACTAGTTTGGCAGCTAAATTTTTGAGGGAAAATGGGATTACATTTTACAAGGTCCAAGAAGAAACTCTAGAGTTTCTAGGGAAATCTGGTATATTAATTATGAGCCCTGAAAATCCACCCTTGACCATACAAGCTCAGATGGCCCTTGACTGGGCAGTTGAAGAGAAGCTGAAGTCAGGTACTTTGGTAATTTCGTCTTATTATTGTCGATATTTGCCATATTAAGGAGAACTTAATACCCATTTTACATTCATTTTATTGTGAATTTCTGTCACTTTCGTTTAATATTTGTAAGTACACTAATGAATCTCTATAGTGTTACTTTTGGTTGCTAAAGTTTTCATAGCAGATGTCACATGTACTTTATTAAGCCTTGTTTGTATTAGATAGAATTTCTTGAGCATATTTGACGTGAGGTGCTTTGTAATTGTGTACCCAAAACTAATGATTGTCTTCTGTTCTTTACAACAAAATATTGACTTAAATTTGAGTGTTTGTATGTATTTCTTTGTTTTAGCAAAGTTTTTGAAATGTGGCAAATGAATGTTTTCAAGCATTTGAGCAGTCAGTCATAAAAGAATTGGTCACTGACTCGTAACTTAGCTTGAGCAAAAAGTACTGTATCATTTAGTATAACATAATGACTCCTTAAATTTCCTGCACATTGCATAACCAGTGGTTTAGTGTTAATATTGTGTTATCCTTTCTAAGTTTTTTTATATTTTTTTCCCTCATGTTCAAGTCTGTTGTCTTTTGCTTAAGACCTGGAAAACAACTAACGGGAAGTGCTTTTAAGATAGTAAACACTTTTCATTTGTAGTTTGTCTTTTGTCTAGCTATTTTCCGTACCTATTGAACCATCAGTGATTTTTTGTTTATTTATTATATCTATATTATAATTGTGTTAACTCTCTGTTGGAGGAATGACAAACAATCGAGGTGCATTAACCATATGTTCTTGCCACAATAGGTTTATTTATTATTTCTATTATAATTGTTTTTAACTCTCGACTAGAGGAATGACAAACAATCAAGGTGCATTAACCATATGTGCTTGCCACAATAGGTCTATGCAGTATTGTAAGTGTTATTTTATTTGATTCTGCACTGTAAGCGTCAAGTTTACTAGTCATGTGTTGTAATTAATGTTACATTGTGAGAACTTTAGTGCACTGCTATTGTTTTGTTATGTGTTTCTCAAATTTTAAATAGTGAAGATAATTGAGTATGTTAAGCTGAAAGGAACCCAATTTGTTATGTTCCAAAACATGGTGAACTATAGAACTATAGTCATTCATGGAATCTTTAAATTGTCTGTTTGGGAAATGGAATTACAGTTTTGCTATGGAGCCATCGGATGGCTCGTCATATGAAGCCATCCACACTTATTCATCAATAGTGTATTGACACGTGTCCTGCAAAAAATACACTTTGGACATGTGTCAATACATTAAGTGGTGGATGGCTCCATAGAATTTTTGAATGGAATTATAGTAACTGATGATATCCCTCAATCTCTACCTCTTGTTTTAGCTTTGAATTAATCAGTGTGACTAACTGTCTATTGGTATCAATCTAATCACTTTGACCTAAAATATAACAAGTTTATCAGGCTTTTAAGATTGGTTTTTAAGATATATTAATTTTTATTTTATTTTTTGTAATTTTGTATTTATCAAGTTCGTACTGAATTAGTTAAAAACTGCAGGTGAAAGTGGCGAAATAACGACCGCATATTTGGTTCTCGGAATTTGGGCACAAAAGGAGTCTGGAGGGCATAATGTACTGGCTGCACTTGGCTTTAATGATGAAAAGGCGAAAGAACTGGCCAAAACTGTAAGCTCCATTTATACCACAAATGTGAAATTTATAGCAACTCAGAAGGATTAATTTCCTTTTAACATCCGCGCAATTACCTTTGTGCAGAAGGACAAGGATATAATTTTGACCTTCAAACAATTGCGTTAAACGTGTCAGAAAATCTTGAATTCTCCAAGCAGTTGCAGATTACTAGAGGTAAAATGCCTCGTAGCATATCTGTCATCACTTTTTCAGGCTAAATTTATATTTTGAATGGCATCATCAAGCCTTTTTTTTTTTTTTTNCGGTTATTTTTCTGTATACACTTGACTTATTTGATAGTCATCGTTGTACCAGATGCTAAAATGTCGGTTCCTCTCTGCATGTTTTGCTGCTTTATACGGTACCCCCTTGAGTTCTAATTAGTCTGCCTGCTAGTTTTCAAGCTCATGGGGTTGGTTATCAATGTAATTGATGCTAGCTTGGATATGATATAATAATAATATAGTCATACACATTTATCTAGATAATTCTAAATTGATATTTATTGTATCGATGACCAAACTGACCACTAAAAATAAAAAAAGATTCAACTGATGGGAGAAGTTTAATCTGTGATAATATCTATACATGTACATGATATCATTTCCTTACTAATTATTTGGACTAAATGTAATTTTATTATATCATTTCATTAAACAGATAAGATTTATTTGTATCCTACACTAATAATTATACGAATTTCAAAAATCAAGATCATAATCGTTACAACGGGACTTCGGAGCACCACACAATTTGTGTCATTAAAAATCATTTCTTATGTCAATGTAACACATTGTCCAGTATCATAAACATAATAATAACATGATCTGACTTCTGTAATTACCAAAAGTATTATTAATATAAAGTCAAACACTTAATCCACATATATTTTTACTTTCCACAAAACGTAACACAACCTAAAATCCCCTAATTTGTCAAGACATTTTCCTCTGAAAAAAGGTTCAATGTAGAATTATATAACGAGCACTTTTTTTTTTTGTGTGTGTTTTTAAGTTTATTTCATTTTCAATTTTAATTGTGTATCACCAATTTTCACACACACACACAAATACAATGTCAACACTCAAGAACAAAGCTAAGTATACTCCAAAATTATTCTATTTGAAAAGGTGTTCATACTATAATAATGTTCTTCATGGTCATAAAACAGTAATCGAGGAAATAAATATGAGCTCAAGCGCATGATACTCAAGCTCGAGTTTTATCCTTATCAAGCTCGAGCAGTAATGAACCAATTATGCTCTAAAAAATTACATAACATAAAAATCTTTATTATTTTTTAGGTAACGAGCCTTGTTAACTAAACCCTACTTGCTCATTTAGCAAAGTGCAAACCTCCACTCCGCAATTATTTCCTCTCTTCGAGACATGGCCAAGGGTCGCCCGGCCCGCCAACCCGGCACTGACTCGGCCGGTTCAAACTCGCTGACCACGGGTCCAGGATCGGCCCGGATTTCAGTCGGGCCGTGTAAGGGTCATCCATTTCATGACCCGGCCCGGCGGACCCGGGGCGGCCCGGACTTTTGATGGCCCTACTTTTTTATTTTTTATTTTTATTTTTTTCTATTGTTTTTTAAAAAAGTAACAGACCCGGCCCGGACCGGACACAAACCCAGCACGAGTATATATCCGTGCTGGTTCAGGATCATTATTTCCGAGCCCGTCGGCCCGGCCCGGGTTTTAGCCATGTCTACTCTCTTCTCCATCTCTTCACACAATACCTTTTCCAAATCCAAAACCCATTTAATAATTGAAAA